AATGCAAAAATGAAATCAAACATATCACAAGTATTTTACAGATGAACAGATGCTGGCTTGCTTAAGGCCGCATGGTGAAATGTAATGGAGGATATGAGGTTCTGAGAGCTCCGCTCTTGTCTTATACAGAATCACTCTTGGCCTTTCAGTATCCCTTTCTTAAAAAGGAGAATAAAAGCAGCCACTCGCAAAAGGTACTCAGCACAATAACAATTGTGAAGAACTCTGAAAATTAAGAAGGGATATAAAAGTTGTGTTGCTACCCACTTTTATTCATTTATTTAAAGCATTTATATCCTGTTCTTTAGCAGGCTCCCAGAGTAGCTTACAAAACCAGTTACTCACTGTCCTCAGGCTTACAAACTAAAGCATAAGAGGAAAAAAAAGAGGAGAAGGGAGGGAGGAAAAAGAAAGCTTATTGTTATAGGGTTGTATCCAATGCAGCACTAAGTTAAAGTCACATAGCGGCATAATTGTTCCACTGACAAAATGTTTTCCACTTATGAAACGTTGCGCAAGAGAATACACAAGCAAGTTGCTGGTATCTTTGTTGCACAATAGATTGTGCAATCCGCTGCAAAACAAGGTTTTGCTAGCTGGATTCTTGATGCACAATACTGAAATTCACCCATCCACTAGTGCAAGAGTCCATGTGCTATCGAACGAAGAATGCAGTTATATACATTTTTCTACATATGTCTATCTAAGAGGACAACTGCTCTCCAAGTGTGTGTGTGTGTGTGTGTGAGAGAGAGAGAGAGAGAGAGAGAGAGAATGAGAGAGAGAGAGAGAATGAGAGAGAGAGAGAGAGAGAGAGAGAGAGAGAGAGAGAGAGAAAATGACTCTCCCCTCTTCCTGTGGCTCCAGATCCATGAGCATAGCAGGTGACAATGTCAGGGCCAAAAGAACAGAGTCACTGCTTCTGCTCACGTACTTCAGGTGAGATGAAACTCCTCTCTCTGCCCAAGACCTCAGACAGCCACTGCAAGTCAGGCAATCCCATAATAGATTGGCAAATAGTCTAAGCTAGTGTAAGAACACTTCCTATGCTCCTACGGCTCTTTCCAGTTCCATTTGCTCCTCTATTGTTTTATCTTTTCCATACCCAATGGAAAATTTCAGTTTGTAATACATCACGTTATTTAAGTGTGGCCTTTACGTCACGTTATTTAAGTGTGGGTGGTGGGAACAATGGGCATTTAAATGAGAGCACAAGCCAGGAATCATTTATCAGCATGGGACCCTCAGGAATGAAAGAAAGGCTATGGAGGCTTAGCAGAATACCTTTCACAATCCACCTGAGCATTCAATCATGAATTTAGAAATATGACCCATCTCCCTTACTGCCTTTCCATGCTATTACAAAAGATGACAATCCCCTCCTTCAAGGAGTGCTTTGAAGATTAAAAGCTCCAGGTGAGGGGCCTGCAAAGTATTACACTGAAAGATGCTGTACTTCATTTGTTCCCAGAAAGTTTCCATCCAGCAAAAAAGATATGCAAACTTCTCAGGTGACAAGTCTCCCTATCTTATCTAATATCCACCACACAAGCAATACTAGCCTGCAACGTGTCTTATGGCAAGCCCCCACAGAGATGCACTGCACACAACCCCCAAGTTCCTCAATGGAAGGCAATGATTAACTTACTGTGTGTGTGTGTGTGTGTGTGTGTGTGTGTGTGTACACACGCGCATGCGCATGCAGACGAATTGATTAATGTTTTTATCATTCAAAGCACCTGTCAGCAGCATCACAAGGCAGTATGCCTGTGACCTGTATTTGCATGAAAGCAAACTGCTCCTAGAAACTCAACACTCATTTGAAGTGCAGCAGCCCCCTGTGCTTACACATCACAGCTCTGGGCAAGGGAAGAACAAACACCCAGCATGGCTGCTGCCCTTCTCATCCATCACTTTTTAATGACCCCTTCAGCACATTCCAAAGATGGCTGCCTCTGGCAAAGGAAAAGAGGGGGGGAGGGGGGAGGGAAGCAACAAACCTTTCTTTTCATAGTCAGGCTTCTCCCCACTCCTGCCCAAGCTGTCCAGCGGCTGCATCATCTGGCTCGCAAACTCGTCCTCCTGGCAGCCATGCTGAGGCCGCAGGGGGTTCTCCTCCTCCTCGTAGTCGTAGTCATCCAGGATGGGGGTCTCGCGGATGGGCATGCCAATGACCGAGGTGTGGGCTTGTAGGCGTGAGTTCCGGAAGCTGTCCCTTCCCTGCGAGCCCAGCAGCACCGAAGGGATGTAATGGATCTCATGGGTGGCCTCTGTGCTGGCGCTCTTCTGCGGGATCCTGCGCTGCTTGTACCAACGGCGCTGGGCATACAAGGCAACGGTGAACACCAGCAGCAGCAACAGGAGAGCAATCAGGCCTCCCTAAATGGAGAGAGAGCAAAGCTGTTCAACACCCTCACTCTCCAACACCATTTAAGCCCAAATTTTAAAAATCAGTCTTATTAAGAAAACATTATGTTTCCAGTGTCTAAATTGCTAGGTGCTATACAAAAATTCATTCAGGAAGACAAGGTACATCAGAAACCCGCCCACTGAAATTAATGGATCTAATTTAGACGTGCCTATTTCAGTTGGTCTACTCTGAGTAGGACTAACTTTGGCTACAACCCACGAGCCAGGGTTCACCTGCCCAGAAGTTGCTGAACTACAACTCTTATAAACTCTGGCCACTGGCCATGCTTGCTTAGACTGATGGGAGTTGTAGCAAAGGAAGCTTAAGAAAATCTGTGCATATACTACTGTGCTTAAGCCTGTTGCATCCTTATATTTAGTTTAAGTAATAAGTTAACTTCTATATGAAAGAATGCATCTCCTGACCCAACTCTGTTTCACAAACTTCTTTTTGTTAGTGAAACTTGTTTGAGGCAGTGGCGGCACCCCTCTCCCATGCTGTGACTGCCCGCAGCTCTGCCCCTGAAGCAAATTGTGGCTAATCGCTGCCGCCACCTCTCTGAAGCTTCCGCCCCCAGGTCAGGCTTGACTCCCTCCCCCTTCCCCTCAGCTGGTCCAAGGGCAGCCCTAAAGAGAAGCCGCTGCTGCTGCTCAAAGGCCCGAAGGCCAGGCCTGGGCGTGCTTCCCTTGATGAGGGAACTGTAGTGGGGCACCTGATTGTGCCCCCTCAAAATGTGCCTGCAGAAATGCTCCTACCAACCCCCACTCTATGTCACTGGTTACCAAACAAATATGCCTAAGACTCATCTCTGAATCATATTGTTTCCTGTGTACTGCAGCGGAAGGGGGGGGGGGACCCATCTAATGTGGTATCTGTTGCAGAGGGGCTTAGGGTGTCAGACCAAGCATTTGCTATACAAAAGGCAAGCTTAGATTTCCACCCTGAACAGAGCAAATTTGTCACAGTTGTGAATCACCGCTGCTTATTGTAACCCTTCCCTTCTGCACACCATGTAGCAGGGTAAGATCTAGACATAAGGAATACAATAAGTAGCAAGGCTGCTAATATTTGAAATCCTTTGGTTTAGTATATGGATTTGGTCAGTTCAAAATGCTAGGGTGTATTATACTAAACTGAGCAACATTTCCAATAATAAAGTATTCCTCTTTGGCGCAAATATATGTATGCCTACTTGAGGTGCACTTGGAAGCTGAGTGAAAAGTTTGTGTTATAGATAGATAGATGATAGATAGATGATAGATAGATAGATGATAGATGATAGATAGATAGATAGATGATAGATAGATAGATAGATAGATGATAGATAGACGATAAGATATTTCTTGCATGGTGCAGAAGTTCAGTCTGCTCCAAGCACCCATTGAAGCAGGTGGACCATGGTGGGTCAGCACTTTATTGACCGGGGGCTGCCCAGCTTAAGGCAGGCAGTAGCTGACCAGTGAGACACAATCATCTCTCCCATCAATGGAGGCAACCCATAGCACTCATACCTTACCACCCAGGTTGAGCTTATAACTTGTAACTGCCCCCCCACATTGTTTTGCAGCACCAAAGTGACATCTCTGGGGCACAAGCCTGGGCAGTGTGTATGGAGGTACTGGGCTGCCCAGGCGGCAAGCGCCCTTGTGGTCCAAAGGAAAGGAAAGGAAAGCAATACATTTGGCTCTGCTGCAGGAGTTGCTGGAAGGAGGCATACAAAACACCATCCAACCACCTTAGGGACTCCACTCTGGATTTGTGTAAGCTTTACTCCTTAGGCTTTTCTTCTCCCGAAGATGTTCCACAAGTGGCTACAGATTTTTCCTCAGGGTTTACTCCCAAAGCCTTTCAGAGTTTTCCTTCTCCTAGATGGGCTACCTTCCCATCTTCCTACCTTCATCTTGTATAAAATCTGTGTTTTTGACTGCTGGACCCACTATTGGTCTCATCTGCTCAGTCTGCTGGAGCCTACCTTCACATGCAGGACGTCTTTAACTCACTGAGGGTTTGAGACCCATTGGCCACCCACACCTGGTTTAGCCAGTAAGACAAAGCTGTTCCCAGGGTGTGGCCGCTGTCACATGCTGTCGGCTTCCAGGAGCCACAGATGAGAGCTGAGTGCAGGGGATGGGGACCAGTGGTGGATGAACTACCCAGAAGGAGGACATCATGTCCCCCACCAGAGATACTGCCCCTCCCCTAGCACCCCATATATAATTTTCAAGAAAGGTTATACAAGATTCTGCAAAATACAATGTGATCAAACAGGATCTGGTGAAATTATGAATATATACCATTATAGATCACGGTTGAACAAATACAGACAAACAAACAACAAGTATATGAATGCATGGAAAGTAGTGACCAAAATTATGAATATATACCATTATAGATCACGGTTGAACAAATACAGACAAACAAACAACAAGTATATGAATGCATGGAAAGTAGTGACCAAAACAGTTAATAACAGAAATAACAGTTAAACAAGACAAGGTTACAAAACATGAACCCTATTAGAATAATAGAATCATAGAGTTGGAAGGGGTCCTGAGGATCATCTAGTCCAACCCCCTGCAATGCAGGAATATGCAGCTCTCCCATATGGATATCAAACCTGTAACCTTGGTGTTATCAGCACCACACTCTAACCAACTGAGCTAACTTATACCAAGGGAAAGTAATTAAAGTTGGTGCTTTTTGACAACGAAGTGAAATCAAAACTTAGGGCTTCTGCACATGACCTGTTTATTCAGCAATCATTCCAATTTGCTTAAATGCAGGCTACATTATATCCAGTCTTCATTGAGCATTTCTTCTGATTTGTTTGCAAGAACAGTGTACTGCAAGGAGCATTAGTCCTCATTTACTTGTGGGGTGGTTGCACATCTCCCCGTTAATAATTCAATAACCCCACAAGTTTCAGTACATCTTCCTGGCAATTTGGAACGCAAAAGTCATTTTCTTTTATCTTTTAGTGGATTTGGGCTGTGTGCACATTATTGGCTTAAAGCACAGAGGGGTCATTATTTTCTCAATTTGGATTGAAGCTGGTTAGGGTGAAAGCACATCAAAATGCAGTATCTAATTAAAAAATGAGAGGACAATTACAGGATAGATATGGATTGTGATGATGTGTACACCTCTTCCCAAAGCAGTGGTGGGAGGACACTGTGCAGAGTGAACGTGAGTGTGTTCACAGCATTAGTGCACTAGGGCAAGAGTACTTTAAACTAATTGCACAAACCTAAATTTTCAGTGCATGATTGACTCCATTCAACAAAAAATTCAAAGTATCATTAAAGCTCAGTCAATATTGGAAGTTGAGAAAGAACTTCAAGAACAGAGACATACTTTTCCTCCAAAAACCTGTCAAGAAAGCCCATAATTCCTGAGCTGATTTCAAACTGAGCAAAGGTTAAGTTTCCGCATCCCTGCAAAGGATAAACAAGTTAACAAGCCTCAGAAAGAAGAATTAGAGCCTTCATTTACAGACACTGCCCATTTTCAGCTGCCTATTTTCTGTCAGTGACCCCTGTACCAGCAGCCCAGTGTTTAGACATGAAATGCACAGAGAGAAGAAAGATCTTTCTGAAAAGTCAAACTTCGGAGGGATTCAGAAAGGGCTTGTTTTAATCTATTTTTCATGTTGAATTGTCCAACCAAAAGCACCAGATAGAGAAAAGGGGAAGGAAAAAGGATAATATGTGAAATTGACAATGTGTCATTCCAAACTGATTATTTCTGTCTCCAAGCTCCCCCCTCACCCCATATTCCCAAACAATGGCTACATCCAGGGGGGATTTAGTATTCTAAGACAGGATTTATAATACTCTGTTCTGCAGTGATAAGAACACAGGCCTTTAATCCTCCGAGCTGTGAACATGCATATTCTCTTGCATAATAGATAGCCTTTTTGCCATACTTCCGTGGTGTCCCCAAACCACACAAGCACTGGCAGAGAAGGACAAAGCATGGAGCTCTCAGAAGAGTATCTAGAATGCAGATTGGGCCTCTTAAAGAGTACCTAGAACCTTGCCCCAAGGTAAGCAGAGCACAAATCCATGTTTCTCACAGTCCATTGTCAGTATGCACATGTTTATGGCATTAAACAGAGACAGATTAAAAGATTTTGAGTTCTGCAACCAAAGACAACAATTGTGGGACTGGAGTGATTTCTGCAACCTGAACAACTGTTTGTTTGTTTGTTTGCTTGCTTGCTTGCTTGCTTGCTTGCTTAATAAAAAGCTCATTCAGAACATTTGCTCACAGCTGCATTGAGGCAGAAGTGATTTTGTTTGATTCCCCTTTGCTTTTCATTTTCATATTTTGTTTTATTTTTAGGGATAAGGGACATATAATGAAAAGGTCAAGAGGGATAAGTACTGCTACCTAACCTAGGGTGGGGGAGAATTAGACCGGGTGTTCAGTGTTTAATGTGTGTACTGCTAGATAAATAATAAGGCCAGCCAAGGTTCTTCCAACAACAAACCAATGCCCTGCCATTTCTCTTCATCCTCAAATTTCCATTGCCCAACAGTCATGGGGAGAGGGGGGGCCAACGCCACTTGGAACCCAGATGTTTTGGACAACTGACAGCCAGGTGCAGATATCCCTTTGGGGGCTCAAGTGGGTTGTTTGATACAGCTGCCAATTCTCCTGGAGGAAACAGATTATAGGTAAAGAAAGCAAAACTGTGACCGCTAGTCTTGCTGCTGATGCACTACCCTAAGATAAGCCTTTGCTTAGCATCAAATCAAAACCAGTATTGTGGCCTGTCTCATTCCAATCAAACCATGACCTACAACCACGGCTTGTTCTCCGCTTACCAAGCATGAACTAGAGCAGTATGAGCTAAATGTTTTCCAGGAGCATGACACAGCAATAAATGGAAAAGTTTGATCTTCTGAAATGAACTTAAGAGCTGTCTTCCCATAGAGGCAGATTCTGCTAAAATGAGGTCCATTTTGCTGAATGCTCTGATCTTTCAGTTGCTGATGCTCTTTATTATTAATTTAGAGCATTCTTGTTAGCTAATTAATATGGAAAAATATTTTTAAGCTCCAGGTCTACATTGATGCCCCACAATATTGAGTGAATACATTTTTTTGCTGCATTTTTTGCTGTCTTCCTCCCAAGAGCACCTCCCTGTGTAACATGCTACAAAATATAATGTGTTGTTTATTCTTCTTTACAGGTCATTAATGATGATAAATAGGGGACTTGCTACTGCCAATCTCAGTGAAATCCTTGTGGATACCTCCTCCTCCCCTCTCCATGGACTGTCATTCATCACCATCTTCATTGCATTCCTGTCATTTCTGAAGCCTCTGTAATCCTAAAGTGCCTCGGTTCTATAAGCCCTGGAAGGAAAAGAGAAGGAAAGAAATCCTCCTCACCACCACTAGCTGCTGAAATGCTAAAGAGAGGTGATGAATGTCTGGTGTAACAAACCCCAGGCCTGTTTCTCTTAAGAATTCCCCTTATCTACCCAAAAACATTCTCCATCCATAATCCTCACTTCAAGTCCTCAAGCGGACACAGTGGACTGCTAGGCAGGTAACGCTGGTCACAAACTGTTGTTAAGAATATTAGCTTGTATATGAGCTGCATTCAGGTCAAGCAGTCCCTACCCAAGCTGAGAAAGTACCGGTAACTCACAGAATGGCTGGTTTACCACTGCATGCAAACCGGTGCTTGTATTTGGTTTCTCCAAAGCAAACCACAAGTGGGAAGCCAAGCCATGCCTTCTGTTTGTGGTTTGTTTTGAGAGAAACCGAAAATGAACACTGGCTTGTAAATAACACTAAGCAAGCTGCTGCCTGAGTTGTTTCCCCACACTAGGAAAGGAGGGGCGAAATGAGAGCTGCTTAAACTGCATGCACAAGTGTGCAGCTTAAGGACATAGCCAATGGATGGGGGGGGGGGGAGCTGCACCCCCCATCAAGTAAATAAATAAAAACACTTAACTAACTGACCAATTGTATTGCAGATAACTTGGTTCTGCCCACCCCACCCCATTAATCCTAGCTACACCCATGGTGCAACTCATACACAGGCTAGTTTCCCTAAAGATGATTTATTACCAGTGTGATGTCCAGGCATGGCTGGTGCTTTACATAATTCCACACAGAGATTCTCAGATAACAGCCAAACCACGGGATGAAAGAGCAATAAAGTGAGTTTTGGAATGAAGATTGTGGTTGCAATGCTTGTCCTCTGGTCCTGCTGCTACTACCCACTGCACTACCCAGGGTTAAACCATGGTTTGTGGATACATGTTGAAGGGATTCATAGGAACCAACTCCATAAAATATTTGAGTGGGGTTACCCAACCCCCAAGGGACGCGGGTGGCGCTGTGGTCTAAACCACAGAGCCTAGGACTTGCCGATCAGAAGGTCGGCGGTTCGAATTCCCACAACAGGGTGAGCTCCCGTTGCTCGGTCCCAGCTGCTGCCCACCTAGCAGTTTGAAAGCACGTCAAAGTGCAAGTAGATAAATAGGTACTGCTCTGGCGGAAAGGTAAACAGCGTTTCCGTGCGCTGCTCTGGTCATGCTGGCCACATGACCCGGAAGCTATAAGCCGGCTCCCTCGGCCAATAAAGCGAGATGAGCGCCTCAACCCCAGAGTCGGCCACAACTGGACCTAATGGTCAGGGGTCCTTTTACCTTTACCTTTACCCCACCCCCAGTTGATGGGCATTGCCATTCAAATGGTTTGTGTGCACTGTGTCATGTGACTGATTATGCAGGGTGGGGCTTACCTGCTGCTCAGATGAAGATGACTGATCAGATGAAGATGAAGGATGGGGGGGGGAGTAAGAGTTAGAGGCCGATGTTTCCAGGGAGGGACCAAGTGAGCTGTCAGCTATTCAGCCCATCCCAGCTCAGCCCACATCCCCACCTCTCATGCCACTGGAGCCTCCCCTCTCATCAGTTCCTGCTGGTGGGCACAGCCGTGGCTAAGTGATCTTGTGCCCCTGGCAGAACCATCCAGATTGCGCCCCTTGGCCACGGACAAAGTAGCTCTTCTTTCCACCTCTCCTCCAACCCCACCACCACCCATTCAATTCCTCACGCACTTCACCTTGTAATGAATTCTTTCAAAGAAAATTCAATATTTAATTTATTATTTCTTAATAAAAGGTTTTCGGGCACCCCAAAGGACCCTCCAGCGCAGCCAGCAAGTAGAGCCCCTTCTTGCCAGGGGGCCGCCCCTTTTTGATTCCCCTGCACCCTGGAGAGCCCTCCTCCACCCCATCCCCCAAGCCCATGAGGAGCGCGGCCAAAAGGCCGCTCAAACATTCGGTTCCTAACTTAGCTGAGGAAGATTTTCTTCCGCCTTTGAAAGGGGGTCACTGGCAGCTTTCTGGCCCCTCTTGATTCCTCTGAGTGGCCAGTGCCCCCTGGTTTGATGGCTCAACAGTGGGGAGCTCTGCGCATGGAGCAAAGAGGCGGCGGATCTTCCTCTGCTCCCCAGGGCCCTGGGTCAGTCAAGCTCTGTGGGGCAGCTGTTGTGCTCGTGGCTGACCTCCAGCACCCTTCTTCTCCCTCCTCCTCCAGGGCTCAGGATGCCTTGTAAGCGCCGGAGGAAGATGTGGGTGCAGACGCAGCCAACCGGGATAGGACGTGCAGCCCTGGGAGTGGTGCCGAGGACGATGGGA